TTTTAAAAAGGGGGATGCAAAGAATCCAAGATACTTTCCTGTGGAGAAAAAATGCTCTTCTAACAAATCAGGACTAATTAAGTTGAAAGTAAACTGTGGCTTCAGGGAGAAATGTTTTTGCATTTACAGGCTGTTTCTCAAAAGCTGATTATATCTTTGGATTTTTCTAAATGAAGTTTTCCCCATAGTTGCCACACTTATCCATGGAAGTTTACATGTCCAGATACTATCAACATTGAAATCTGCCTCACATATTTGCTTCTTCCATCTACTTACCAGAAAAATATCCATGAGGGAATGAATCATGAAAGACTCACAGTCTTATTTGAACAATAAAATTAAGTCTGAAACCTTTTCATTTTAATTGTGCATGGCAGAGAAAGAAACACAATTTCATCCTAGAAGAAACAGCACAGTGTTCTGATAGTAAGGTCAGTTCACATGCTACCTATACGAACTATCTTTATTTATACTAGGGGTTATTTTCTGTCTTTACTATCACCTAGATTTGTAGATATAAGGATAGTATAGTATAGTATAGTATAGTATAGTATAGGATAGGATAGGATAGGATAGGATAGGATAGGATAGGATAGGATAGAATAGAATAGAATAGAATAGAATAGAAAAGAATAGAAAAGAAATAGAAATAGAAATAGAAATAGAAATAGAAATAATTTTTTTTTATTGGCCAAGTGTGATTGGACACACAAGGAATTTGTCTTGGTACATACGCTCTCAATGTACATAAAAGAAAATATATGTTCATCAAGAATCATAAGATACAACACTTAATGATAGTCATAGGGTACAAATAAGCAATCAGGAAACAATATCAATATAAATCATAAGGATACAAGCAACAAAATTACAGTCATACAGTCATAAGTGGAAGGAGATGGGTGTAGGGAACGATGAGAAGATGAGAAGATTAACAGTAGTGCAGACTTAGTACATAGTTTGATAGTGTTGAGGGAATTGTTTGTTTAGCAGAGTGATGGTGTTTGGGAAAAAACTGTTCTTGTGTCTAGTTGTTTTGGTGTGCAGTGCTCTATAGCGTTGTTTTGAGGGTAGGAGTTGAAACAAGGATGTCCAGGATGCAAGGAGTCTGTAGATATTTTCTCAGCCCTCTTTTTGACTTGTGCAGTATACAGGTCCTCAATGGAGGGCAGGTTGGTAGGTAGGTAAGTAGGTGATCTCTGTCATGGGATGTTTCTTGTCCTCATTTTTGCCCACCAAAACCAGACCAACTGTTTCCAGGCTGTTGACAACCCAACCAAATGCAAGCAAATAAGTTCCTTCAAGCCTTGTTTGAACCTGCCAACCAATGTTCATTTCCTTGTTTTGCTCTCATCTCTCAAATGTGGTAACTTGCTTCTGGTTTAGAGTATACAAAAACTGTATGTACTACTTTTTTAAAAAATGTAGATGCGTTCTGATTTAAATCATCAGGGTCGTAGCTGCGATGTATGCAGAAACATCCTTAATTTGCAAGGAGGAAATTGCTGTAGTTGCTGAGAGAATGTTGCATTATAAACATGGGCAGGACCAGCATTTTCTTACTAAGAGAGACTCATGTCTTTGAGAAATTCTTGAAAGAGTTTATCTTCCCCAGAGAAACATTTTCAAGCTCTTTTCTCTGTTCTCAACTTTGTGAAAGAATTTCAACAGGCAGTACGTCTCCAGGACCACAAAAGGAAAAGAGCTGAGCTACAAGAAAGCTGGGGCCTGAATTATTATCTCTCCTAAAGATGCTATCCTCTTCCACACAGAGGGCTGATGAAGGCTTTTCTTTTATCCTTGAAAATATACCTTTGAATATACAGGTAGTCCTCATTTAACAACAGCAATGTTTAGCGACCATTGAAAGTTACAACGACACTGAAACGTAAGTTTACGGCCATCGCAGTGTCTCTGTAATCATGTGGTTGAAATTTAGGTGCTTCGCAGCCAGAAAACATTTACAAACATTGAGTTTAAATAAGAAGTAAATTCATTGTACAATTTTGAATGAAAATCGAACACATCTGGAAACCATCAGATCGGAAGAAACAAGTCTAATGCATCGATCATTTGATATTTTCACACCAACTTTGTCCAGTGTAGAAGCTGCACATCCATCAATTTAAATCTTCCACACTATCTTCTCTCTCGTTTTTTTTCTTTTAAAACGATAGAATTACCAGGACTTCACATAATGTTCCAAATATACTGAAAAAGTCGAGGAGTCCAACATTATTGGTGCTGAACAGATTGGGTTTAAAGCAGACTGTGCCACATTGGACCACTGCTTTGTCCTAGCGCACCTGGTTGACAAATATGCCACCATACCAGGTGGTAAACTTTTTACTGCTTTTATCGATCTAAAGGCAGCGTTTGATTCAATCCCAAGGGAATTGTTGTGGACAAAATTGCTCAAAAGCTCCATCGACAGACGTCTGTTGTTCCTAATTAGATCCCTATATAATCAGACTTCTAGTCAGGTCAGGTGTAGTTTGCAGGGAGAACTCTCTAACCCCATCCCGATAAAGAGTGGAGTAAGGCAGGGCTGTCTCCTGGCTCCTCTTTTGTTTAACCTATTCTTATCTGATTTGGCCTCTTATATTGGACGTATTGAGTCTCACACCCCAAAGCTGTCAACAACGAAGATCCCGCTTCTCCTTTATGCTGATGACGCGGTCCTCCTATCACTGACGAGGCTTGGCCTGAAAAGGCTTCTCTCTGCATTTGGGTCCTACTGTGCTGAGAATCACTTGTCCATTAACTATGACAAATCAAAAGTCTTTGTGTTCTCTAGAGCCCGGAAGTTACACAACTGGGCTATTAAGGGTAATGCTGTTAAGCAGGTTTCCCATTTTAAGTATTTAGGTATACATTTTCAGAACACTGGTGCTTGGACTAGACACTGAACCCAGGTGCTGAATTCAGCTTTTTGTAGCCATCAGCAGATTTTAAGATTTTTCTATACCCAAGGTGGCCAATTTATTCCTTCTGCTCTGCGTATTTACAAAGCCAAAACCTTGGCCTAAATTCTTTACGGAATTCCTATATGGATACAGGGCTTCAAAGAGTGTATTGAAAGAACCCAGGCTGCTTTTTAAAGGAAACTTTTGGGTCTCCCTCCCTGTGTTGGCTTTGCTCCGATGTATCTGGAACTGGGCATTCGATCAGTCGAATGCATGGCGTGGATCAACACCTTTAAATGGTGGTTTCAGGCACTCTTTTTGGCAGCCCTTGGCAGCTACCTTTCCCTGGTGTTAGCTGACCCCTATACGTCTCGATGGGAGAGGGATCTGATGAAGAAACTCCACCTGTTAGGTTTTTCGGGGGATGCCATGGGAGACTATGGCCTTAAAGACGCCCAATTTAGGGTAGCCCAACGGCTTGTGGACTTAGACTTACAATATCTGAGAGCTAGAGCTAATAAAACCTGCTCCCCTCTGGTCTTCAGCCAACTTAATAATTTTGGACTGAGGATGGCCTCATATTTCTATACTCTAACCATCCCTAAGTATAGAAGAGTCTTCTCCCTTGCTCGTTTTAACGTCTTGCCTTCAGCATTGCTGGACGGTCGATTCAAGAGGCTTCCGAGGGGCGAGCGGCTATGTCCCTGTGGTAGAGCGGAGGTTGAGACTGTGGAGCATGTCCTTTTACACTGCCCCATGTATAACGTAGCCAGGACTAATTTGATGTCTCTCTTAGAGACAGATTTCTGTGGGCCCAATGATAGTGATTTGGCCTTGTATTGTTTAGGGGATGGCTCCTCATACACTACCTCTCAGGTCTCAAAATTTTTTCTAAGAGCCGTAACCATTAGAGGAGAGTGCTGTGGTCCCTCTCGGCCAGGGCTTCCGGTGGCCGGCTGTTCGTGATGTTCTTTTTCCTATGTTTTTCTGTAGCTATGCTTGCATTTTGGTCTGTGACCGTAAATAAATTTATTATTATTACTGAAAAATGTAAACATAATTAGAGAATTTGCTGAATTACTGGGTCCCTTCCTTCTCCTAACAGTCTCAACTGGTGAATTGCAATGAGGTGGTGGCATTGTTTGCGAACCTTCTCCTTATGTCCAAGATCCTTTTCCTAGCTAGGAATGACAAGTTTTGGATAAAATGAATCATGACTATCCTGTGTACCAGCCTAGTAACTTTATGTCACTTCAATTCTGTATTGCATGAGAAATGTCTTCCTCAGGATTATCCTTCAAATGAAATATTTTATTGTAATAAACACATGGGAGAGTTTCTACCCACACCAACATGTTTTTACCTTCTCCTTGCCATCCTTTTGTTGATAACACTCTTGTTAGCAATAATCAATGGCAATTGATTGTTGCTAACCAGAATGTATTCCAGACAGGTTTGCTGGATATTATGGAGAAGACAAACTGGACAGCAGTTATAGTGAAAACACCATGTTTATTGCTATATCAAGTTCTGCCCTACATTGGAGAACAAACTAACTACATTTCAGTTCTCTTAAGTTTTATGTTTTTAAATGTACCCTTCCAGAAAGCTGTTTCAAATTTACAATAATTGACCCCCAGCAACTAACATATTATTACTAATGAGCTGGTATTTATTTCTTTGGCATGCACATCTGTACTTATTCAAACAAGACTATGTTCTGTAGATGTATTAGCTGATCATTACAAACATGTTTTGTTCAGATTAGCGTTCTGTGGGAGGAATGGCTCAGTCCAACAAACTAATTGGGACTTTGACAGAAGCCAAGAGAGGGGTGACTGTATGGGAGAGCAAGAGTCAAAGAATCTGGTCTCAATGGGACAGGGATGGGGAAGCTCCAAATGTATGACTTTGTTGTTAACACTCATTGCATGTGTTTTCAATAGCCAAGTAGTATTAATTCAATATACAATAGCTTCTAAATGAAGCTTTCAAACATCAGAAGTATATTCAAGAATCTTGATTTAAAGCATATACAGTTCTTCGTGAGTTTAAGTTATTATGCATAACAGGGCAAGATAAATTTAGTGCAGAAACTGGTAAAAACTTATTTATTTCTTTTAAGCACAATTCCATTTTTTCCTGATGGAAAATTTAAAGTCCTGTGAAAAACATGAAGTTTTCATAGCTCCGGCTATTTTTTATACCAAGCTTTTCTCAACTTGGACGCTCTTCTGATATGCTGATTTCATTTCCCAGCATTCTCAACAATGACTGTGCTGACTGGGAATTTTGGGAGGTAAATTGCACGCATGTCTGTAGAAGATCCAGTTTAGGGAAATTCTTCACCAAGTCCTTCTTGTTTTTTTTTTCTTTTTTCCCTCTCCTTCATTTGTCTGAAAAAAAGGCAAGTTTTAAGGAGGGATCATTCTGAAATTAATTAGGGAATTGTTCTTAAAGACCACTCCAAACTATAAATGAAGCAAGGAAGGAGGGAGAATTGTTTCGGGAACAAAAATTTCTTGGCTACTTGAGACTAATGGAGCTGGATAAGTGAAGGTCACAAGAAGGGAGAAGTCCAATTCTATGACTAGAATGATCAAAGTGGCAGAACAGCCTGACAATCCTTCCAAGTGTTTGTACATAGTCTGAAAGTGGTCAGAAAAGTCTGTCACATCTTAAGCATAGATGTATCATAATCAGTGTGGCTAGAAAAATAAGTATTATTTGCACAGCAACATGCTAGATAGATTATGATAGAAGACAAGAGATTTGAAGATTGCTGCAAGAGACATTCAGAAACTGGCCAAGAATTTTCACTGAGTTACATTTTTTTTTAAAAAAATGTTATATTTTAGGTTTATTTAAAAGTTACACATTTAAAATATAATCTCAGTGGAGAAGGAGAATGGGTGCAAGAGACAAATGTGATAATCTAAAATAATTATGAACCAAAAGATAAATAGTACTGTTTAGCCAAATCACTGATAGAAGTTGTGAAGGATGAAGAAGATGAGAAATTCAACATTTACGCAACAGAAAATTCAGAAAATTGCCAAATAATTAAATACCAGTGTAACACGTGATAAGTCTTCCTTTAAAATGTGGAAATCATATAGAAATGGGGGGAAGGAAAACAAACTTTGGAATGATAAAAATAGAAGAAATTTGAGGAGCAAAATGTTTAAAGGTATAGATGAAAACATTTCTTCAGTCAAGAGTAAGAAAACGTCCAGGGAGATAATACAATCTTTAAACAGTGTATGTTGAGAACAGCATCGAAAGAGGACTAATAAATCACCACAGAGTGAAATAAATACTTTGCCTCTGTCTTCACTGTGGGAAGAAGTTGGATATATAATCAAATACAAACCAAATTTTTTGGGGCGCGGTGGCATTGGAGAAGAGCTAACTGTGAAGAGCTGTGTCAAATAATCGTAACAATGGAACAAAATGTAGAGATAATTGCACATTAAAAATTAACAAGTCATCATGGCCAGTTGGCTGCCATTCAAGAAATAATTCTAACATGAAACTGCTGCTATTTTAGCCAAAATATGCAAGTTATCAATAAAGTCAATTTTCTTGCCAGAGTACTGGAGGTAAGCAGTGTAGTTATATGTGTGTGTGTGTGTATACACACACACATATATATGACTATACTGCTTACCAAGAATATATATATATATAGGAGTATATGTGTATGTAAATTTTATATATATAAAATTTATATTTTGCTGATAAAGTAATAAAGGGAGACTAGTATAGATCTGTTTCAATATATATATAAAGTGTTTTTCTGTTGAAGCACCTGGTCTACCCCAATATGGGAAGGAGTATACTGCTTCCCTTTCGCCTTTCAGCTCCAATCCAGGAGCCCTCAAGCAGTCGCATTCACAACAAACCATTTTATATCAAATTTATATTTGCTGATAAAGTCTCCCTTTATTTCTTTATCAGCAAATATAAATTTTGTATAGATATAAATATAGATGATATAGATAATTTATATTTTGCTGATAAAGAAATAAAGGGAGACTAGTATAGATCTATTTCAAGCTATTTAGTTCTCACCAGCTAGCCATGCCCTTACTTGGATTCAAACTTGGGATGCCTGCATGTTAGGCAGTTGTATTAACCTCTGAGCCACAAGTTCTCCTCCCTTCACCTTCATGTAGTATGCTCCCTCCCATATGCTGGGTTAGACTAGGTGTCTCGATAGAAAAACACTTAATCTCTCCCCTGGCTCAAGCTGATGAAGGGAGGAGAACTTGTGGCTTAGAGGTTAATAAAACTGCCTAACATGCAGGCAGCCCAAGTTCAAATCCAAGTAAGGGTATGGCTAGCTGATGAGAGCTAAATAGCTTGAAATAGATCTATACTAGTCTCTCTTTATTTCTTTATCAGTGAAATATAAATTTGGTATAAAATGGTTTGTCATGAATGCGACTACTTGAGGGCTCCTGGACTGGAGCTGAAAGGTACCTATTTGAAATACAGTTAGTCCTTGACATGATCACAATTGAGCTCAAAATTTCTGTTGCTAACAAGACAGTTATTGAATTTTGCCCTGTTTTATGACCTCTTTTGCCACAGTTATAAACTGAATCACTGCAGTTGTTAAAGTTAGTAACGCTGTTGTTAAATAAATCTGACTTCCCCATAGATTTTGCTTGTCAAAAGGTCACAAAAGGTGAGCCCAGGACACCTCAACCATCATGAACATGAGTCAATTGCCAAGCGTCTGAATTTTGATCATGTGATCATGGGGATGCTACAAAGGTCATAAGTGTGAAAAATGGTCATAAGTCATTTTTTCAGTGCCTTTGTAACTTTGAACAGTCACTAAATGAACCGTTGTGAGTTGAAGACTACCTGTACATAGGTAGAATCAGGGGTGAAATGCTCTCGGTTCGGATCGGATCACCCAATCCAGTAGCGATGGAGGCGGATGGTTCGGAGAACTGGTAGCAAAAATCCCTGCCCCCCCCATGCTCAGCTGAGCTGCGCAATCATCAGAGGCTTTTTAAAATTATTTTTAAAAGCATTTTTTCTACAACCTCTTTGGCAGAAAAAAATGCTTTTAAAAGTTAAAAAAAAAGCCTTTGATGATCGTGCGGCATGATCCCAGCTGAGTTGCCTGATCGTCAGAGCCTTTTAAAAACATTTTTAAACAACCTCTTCGGCCGAAGAGGTTGTAGAAAAAATGGTTTTAAAAGCAAAAAAAAAAAAAGTTGGCCACGCCCACCCAGTCACATTACCCCCACCACCACCAAGCCACGCCCACAGAAACGGTAGTAAAAAAATTTACATTTCACCACTGGGTAGAAGACATTACTGAAAATAAATTTACATCCAGACAAGACTTGTTGATGAAAAATCAACATGGCTTCTCCCCAGGTAAGATCTATTTTACTAACTTTATGAAATCCTCTGACAATATCAACAAGGAAGCAGAGTTCCAATGGATAAAAGATCCATAAACTCACAACAGTCTTTTCACAACATTTCTCAACAAAGACTTGTAAGCAATTTAAGTCATGGGTTCCTGCAAGTTTCTTCCTGTGAATCTAGAATTGTAAATTAATGGAAAGTAGAAAATGATTGGAGAGTTGTTGCAATAGTAAAGTGAAGTGGTAACTATTTTTCTTCTCTGGCCAGGATTTATACTATGTGTGATGTTTCTTTAAATATCTTCATAAACTATCTTTAGTTACAGGGCAAGCTCTGGAAGGGTCAAACTGAGCAGTTTTAAAAAATGACTGTAAAAAAAAAGTTTCCACTTGCAGGCTAGGTGTTAATTTAGAGACACAGGTATATGTGTGCGTGTGTGTGTGTAAATACATGAAGTAACGACAAGTACAATGAACCAACAAATCTGCACCAAACATACGGGCAATGAAATGTGGGCTAATTCTCCTATTTTTTTTAAAGATGAAATTTCTCAAGAGCAGGATTCCTGCTAGATATGATAATAATCCTGTTACTGGAAAAACTCTTTTGCAAGGATTTCCTTTAGGATGCTTTCACTTGGGGTTGAATATTGAACAGAAGATCACAAACCTTTTACGAGATGATTGTTCAGGGAAAGACACACTGCTCACGTACCCATTCAACAAGTTCATGAAATCCCCTACAAACTGGGAACTTCTCCAAATTTCTCCACTCCTGTAAAAAAAAAATCATAAATTCTCCTTTGTGAAACTGATGGAACAATTGATGGGGGGAAATGCAGTATTTCTCATGAATGCACTGGTGCTCAACAACGAATCCTAATTTCAGATACGAATAAATGCATGAGAGACAGAACAGATCAGATTGGGATGAGGAGGCAGTGCCGACTTCATGGTTAAGAGAAGATTTGGTTTGTGTCTGAGGCTGAGGCTGAAATACAGTAGAAGAGTGACACAAGCAAATTCCAGAATGGAAGATATTCAGAAACTGCTGATCTCAGAGAATATCTTAAAGAAGATTAAGATCCTTGATCTTTGGGCAAGAGATTTCAGAAATAAAAGTACAAGGAGCGATAGAAATTTAAGGGCTTCAAAACTTCAGGCTCAAGAATTGAGTCAAAATAAGAGGAATACAAATTTCTTGGTGGGATTTATTGACAGCATATGTTGACAGAGGAGTACTATAGGACAGCAGTCCCCAACCTTTCCGGCACAGGGACCAGTTTCAGAAGAAAAATTGTCTTCCATGGAGACATGCAACCCATATGCTGCACATGTGCAGATGAAGTTTCGCTTTATTGCCCATCCCTTTTGTTTTCCAGTTCCTAACAGGCCAGGGACCAGTACCAGTTCATGGCCTGGAGGTTGAAGACCCCTTTTATAGGAGCTGAATGAGTGCAGGAATTTTCCTCAGCCTAAAACTCCCCAGATATGTTAGGATAGCAACTACTCCTTTGGCCTTGTAACTCTGCACAGAACACTAGAGTAGAAAAACACTACTCTCTGTACCTGAGGCAAGAATTGGTGCTCACCTAAAGAAGGAATAGAGAAGTTTAACTGGCAAGTGTTATGAAATGCAGGCATTCAGGAAATGTTAAAAGAGAACAAGATTGATGTTCAGTCAGGAACATCATCATGACAAAGCTCCAGGGATTTTTGTATTCCGGGAACACATGTTAGGTTAAATGTTTTTCCTAGTTAATGCTATTTTATCTTCTCAAGTTACCTCTGTCAACATCTCATCAGTTTAACGTGGAATGGCACACAGACTTTCATTTATTTGATATGGGGCAAATTTACCTGGACGTACATCCTGTTTAGGAACTGATGTTGCTGTAGTCTCTCCACTTGAAGGAGTGGCAGGAAGAGCCCTATCAAATTCTGCTCACTTTTTTTAAAGGAGAAAAATGGAGTTAAAAAAGCGACTGGAAAGATAAAAGAAGTGGGGGACAAATGGACTGGTTCAGAACTGTCTCAGAATAAACTTAAAGTAATTCCTATGTTTAGAAAGCAGATCATTTTATTAAATCAGATTAAACGTGAAATCAGGAAAAAGGTTTTCCAATAAATAAAAGCATTCTCTTTCCCTCTCCTTCTCCCTCCCTCCCTCTCCCTCCCTCTCCCTCCCTCTCTCTCCCCCCCTGCTTTTCATTTAAAAGCTCAAGACAGCATATAGCATTCTTTCCTGCTTTCCCCCACAACAACTCAGAGAGATGTGGCATATTTCTCACAATGTGTAATTAATTTATGGAATTCATTACCACTGTTTATACTCTTGCAACCAGTGTAGATTGCTTTAAAAGCCCTTTAAAATGCACATATAGAGGGTGGGTAATTAATCATGATTTCCTTCAATATTAAATTGGAACTACCATGTTCAAGGTTACTATATCATTAAATATACCTTTTGAATCATTGTTGACTCCTGGACAAATCCTTGAAGTTTTCTTGGCAAGATTTCAGAAGTGATTTGCCATTGCCTCCTTCTTAGGGCTGAGAGCAGGGGTGAAATCCAGCAGGTTCTGACAGGTTCTGGAGAACCGGTAGAGGAAATTTTGAGCAGTTCAGAGAACTGGCAAATAACACCTCTGCCTGGCCCCAGAGTGGGGAGGGAATGGAGATTTGCAGAATCCTTCCCCTGCCACGCCCACCAAGCCACATCACACCCATCAAGCCACACCCACAGAACTGGTAGTAAAAAAATTTAGATTTCACCACTGGCTGAGAGGATATACCATAACGTACCCAGGGGCACACAGCTGATTTTGTGGCTAGTGTGGGATTAAAACTCAGGACCTCTCAGATTCTAGCCCAGTTTCTTAACCTACACCAAACTGACTCTAATAGCAATGAATGTTAGCTGGATATTTACAGTACTTCAAATGCTTCCTTGATGAAAAAAAGATGCTGAGGTGCTTCTTGATTTTGATCCAGCAAGGTTCTTATGTGATATTTGGATGACAATCATTATTGAATTGAAGAATGAATGCTGCTCACACAGCTTTACCTAGTCTAGAAATCTGAAGAACTGCAACTTACATAATTTCCAGCTAGATGGACTATGCTACCTGCAAACTGATAGGAATAGAAAAGGCTGGTAAACAAAGGCCCCATCTCTCCATGAAGCTTGGTATAAAGAATGAATCTGAATAGAAAATCCTTTTCTGGTTGGCATTTAATTGTATTGATTCAACTGTACACTTTCCAACCAAGGAAGACAAAACAAAAGTCTTCCTTCTCCTTGGTGAAACAGTCACTTAGTGTCATGTCATTAGGATTAAAATTCGGACCAAGTTTTCCTTCTTCCAGGATGCTGCCTGAATGATACAATTATACAACTGGAATTGATCAGAGCAAAACAATCCTTCCTTGCCCACAACCCTACAAGATCTCCTGGGAAGAGCCGGGCAGCAAGAATGTCAAGGGCGAATTGCAGAATAATAAAGCTCTGTTAATTATCATGATTATTACCGAATAATAAACGGGAGCTTTCTTCTCAATAGCAGAAATGACAGCTTTTGTGCAGATCAGAAGGACTGTAGATAAGCTAGATGCAGGCTAGGTAAAGGTGGGATCAAAGGAAAGCTGTTTCTGTCTCGTGTTTTTTTTTTTTTTCTATTTGCAGGCATTTGCAGCCCAGCCCACCCTCTTAACATGTCAAGGCTGCTGTCCATGGTTACTGCTTGATATTCACTGCAGCCCATCAGGAGGAAGAAGGCAAATCGGCAATAGTGAATACTTCAATGACACAATGACCCAGACTAATTGTTTTCGCTCTTTCTCACTCTCTAAATAGGTCATCTTTTAATCAAATCTTTTAGTAGAAGTAAAAGGAAGCAGGTGTGCCTTTATTACCATTCTGACTTTCTTTTTCTAACAGCCCCAGGAAGGGTCAAGATGTATTTGTTCCCCTACCCCCCATTATCAAATTGCAGTCCTGAGATCACAGGAAAAGAAGACAAGAGGGTGCCAGGTGAAATTTCTGTCTTGTGATTGACATGTGGTTTATGCCACATGCCAGAAAAGGGTGGATGCTCAAAGAGTGGTTCCCAACATGTCCCAACACTTGAATATTTATATAAAGATTGGAGATTAAAGCTCTGTTATGCAATGCAGGAGCCTGATCCAGTGTCATTTTGTCTTTTTTGGGGTCCTCTCTGCCTTCCTGTGTATCACTTGTGAACATGTAGAAATGTTCCAAATGGAGCGTCTTATCACAGATTGGTCCTAATTGCAAAGACTAAAATGTGTCAGCACTTTTTCCATAGCTTGCCCTGCCAGAGGTGGAGAGATCTGGTGAGAAACCATTCCGCTGACTGTAAATCTCAGTCCTGCTTTTGTCCTGACAGTTATACAGAAGCAGAATTCACTAGGAAACTACACCCATTTGCAAACCTCGACATTTTCTGCAAAGATGTGCTTAATCTCAACTTGACTTTTTTTTTTGCAGAGTCAAAATAGCTCATTGTATTTAAAAAACAAGAACACAGTCCAAATTACTAATTTCAAAGCAAAAAAGTAATGAAATGACAGAAGTAAGGAAAGCACAAACATTAAAAAGAAAAGGTCAGTTGTTATTTGATTACCTTAAGTGGATCCCTAAAAAGAGACATTAAAGGATCCCATCTGAGTCTTTGGTAAGCTATTTCAATCAATCAAAACGGAGCTGGAAGGGACCTTTGAGGTCTTCTAGTCCAACCCCCTGATGCTACCACCACAAATTCTACCACTTTTTCTAACACAAACTTTTTCTCACACAAAGTCCTCTGTCCAAACCCACAGTTCGACTTCCTATTGGATTCATTCCTTAATGTCATTCCTCAGGGAAACCCACTACAATGTAAATCCAAAAAGCTGAGAGGGAATAGCAACAATAGTTTCCCTGGTATAAGCTGTCCTCTGCCTGTACCCCTATTGCTGCCACTACGTATAAAATGAATCATCTTCAAAACATCTGCTCAACATGGGGAGGAGATTTGTGTGTGTGTGTTCTTTTATGTGGAGAATTTGTATGCATGTGCAAACAGACACATACAGGCAGTTTTTCACCCATCACCTGCTACCACATGTGTTCCTTCTGAACTAAAAAAATAGAATATGTTGTGATTGGTGCTTCCCAAATCCAGCCCCCAATTGTTGACTCGCTGCTGGCATTTAAAATGAACTTCATTCACACCCAACTTCAACTGTTTTTGAGAACTTTTCCTTGCATTTCTGCAAAGACTTATTTAAGTAGAGCCAATTCTTATCAAATGCCTCCTTTTTAAATTCTATATCCACTGTGCACTTTGTAGCTTACTCTTTCCCATCACAAAATCCCATCTTCAAATAGCACTTAAAAAGCTGTACAGATCTACTGTGACAAGAAATAGAAGAACGAAGAAAGACGAAATGGACTGCAATTCAAGCCGTATAGCTTTCCGTGATCGTCAAAGTTTCTGGTGTCAAAATCTCTATCTCCAATCAGGAAGACATCAGAATTAATGACATCCTAAATGTGTGAAGAAGAGAGCGTGCATCCAAATGAGTCCTTTGAAAATTAGGACTAGCTTTCATTGTTCCTTTTAAAGAAGTACACAAAACAACTTGTTAAATTCAGGAACAAGAGGTGACATGCTTAGTAATCAGGTCAGAAATGTGGATTTCCTCCGTGATAACATTATGGCATCCTCCTGCGTAAGAACAGTTATGCCCGTATTCTTGCCAACTCCACCCGTGGGCCACTCCTTTGATTAATTAGTCATTCTTCAAAAGTTATTTGCATTAGCTAATCTGTGCTTCTGATTAAACAGTGAGGTCCCATTTCCCTACTGAAATGTTCTGTAAAAATGGAAGTTGTATGCAAATACGTATAAGGGATTAATATTCAAAGGTTAATGATGAGAAACAAAACTGGCACTCTGGTTTATCACAGCAAGTGCCAGACTGAATTGCATAGAGAAATATTTTGCATTTCTGCAGATTGTGAAAATGTGTGTGCAGGAGAGAAAGTCAATCCTTGTTTTAGCAGCTTGCAAAACTGACACAGGATGCCCTATGTACTATACTGTATTGTATTATATACTGGCTGGCTTCTCTTATATATAGGTTGTCCTTGACTTATGACCAGATTTTAAAGATTTTCTTTTTTTTACTTTTTGAAGTTTCAACAACCTTGGAAAGGATGCATTAGGGCCATAAAACACTTCCAGCCATTGTAAAATGTCCTACACACAACCCACAGTCACATGACTTCATTTCAGGTGCTTGGCAACTGGATCATATTTACGATTGGTTGTAGCATCCCACAGTCATGTAATCATGATCTGCCACTTTTTTTGCCATTTTCCAGTGGGTTTGTTTTTTTTTTTGCCAGTTTCTGGCAAAAAAACCACCCATTTTGCTTAATGACCACATGATTCAGACCTACAATCATATGGTTCACTTAGCAACAGCCATAAAAAGGATAACCAAAATTGGGCCTGGTCACATGAGTGCCTTAACTTATAACCGCAACAACTGGTGGCCAAAATTCTGCTCCCAGTTGTCATTGTAAGTCAATGACTACCTGCAGTGATGTTGAGGAAAACTGAATAATTGAAACATATTTTAAAGCAACTTCAATGTTTTCAAAATTTGATGTAATATTGTTAAGTTAACGGGCAAAGGAGGTGGAAGCCAGCCAACCCAAAAGGCTTACTCCCTTTTGGGCCAGTACATCTGGATCTGATGGTCCTGCCACATGTAATCAAGGTGTGGTAAAACACGCACATTTTTTTCTGGTCAGGAAAGGAACCACAAATGCCTTCGGGTATTTCATGTGGTTTTCACTGTATTTTTAGCTCTTACAGATACTGGAAAGCAAAGGATTCCTCCTCTGATAACATTTGTGTTTGCTCCTTCCTACCCCCTTCCTTGAAGATTTTTCAATATATCTGCACCCAAATTTTGGCAAACGAGTTTGGGTTGCTGGAACCCGCAGTGACAGTTTATTGATAGCAAGCAAACATTTCCTATGTGTGAGACACTGTGGAAAAGTGGAAGACGAGCAATTACGTTTATCTGAGAAGAGGCCAAAGCATTAGAAAAAATGCTTTGAAAAGTTTTTTTTTTTTAAAGTTGGCCACGCCCACCCAGTCACATTATCCCATCCCACCAAGCCACGCCCACAGAACTGATAGTAACAAATTTTACATTTCACCCCTGGATTATTCTACATAGAGGGCAGGGCAGACAACCTTATAGCAAATATTCAGTAAACCAAGAGCACAGAAACATTCCTTCAGTTCTGGGAAGGCAGACAGTATTAAGAAGAAGAGGACTCCTTCCTGATTCAGTAAAATGAGAGGCAAACCACAACCAGACTTGCAAGGTTCTTTACTATTGCCTCTCCCTATAAAGTAGAATTTAGTCATTCCGTGGAATGTGTTTCCTGATCTGGTCTACTTACAAAGAAGTCACCTTTTCTGACTCAGAGCTACAATAATCTCCATTTTATCCCAAAGGT